TCTGAGTCGGTCCTCGTGAAGGTCATCGTCATTAGCTTTGCATGTAGTGGCTTGTTCCAGATGTTAGGCGCCTGCTTCAAGCCGTACAGACTTTTCAGCCGTCAGAAGATGTAGTTTTGTTCGTCAACTTGGAATCCTGGCCGCTGCTCCATGAAAATGAGCTCCTCCAAATCCTCCTACAAGAACGCAGTCTTGACTTCGTGCGGCAGTACATCCCAACCACGCTGCACAGCGAAGTAGATAGCAGCACGGGTAGTTTCGAAGCAAATCACAGGTGCATATGTTTCGTTGTAGTTCACCCCTTGTCGTTGTTTGAATCCATGTATCACCAATCTGGCCTTGAACCGTTTCACACGGCCTCACTCGTCTCGTTTGACAGCGAACACCCAGCGACAGGTGATGGCCTTGACATTCTTCGCAGTCTTCCTTGGCACAAGCTTCCAGATCTCATGACCCTTTAGCGATTGAAGTTCTGCTAACATGGCGGCCTTCCACTGAGGTCAATGTCCACTTGCATGTGCCTGCTTGTAGGTCGTAAGAATATATACTTCCTCCGCAACCAATACAGTTCCAACAAAACAGTCCACCAGTCGCACGTTCGCCTTCTGTTTCCGTCGTGGTCGCTTCAGACTTGGCTCTGCAGGTGAGCCTTCGACTGCAACTTCATCCGTGTTTTCCTCCGCATCATTTTTCTTGCGCGCCTTGCGCTTCCTGCGCTTTCTTGCCTTGGACATCTCATTTGGTTCCTTGGCAACTTCCTTCTCTGCAGCAGGTGTTACAACACCATGCACCAACTCATCACTGCTTGCAGTCACCGGTAAGTCTTCTGTCACTTCATGTTCAACAGAACTTTGGTTGGCTTCTGCAGATTCTGCGGCGAGTGATACCAACTCGTGTTGCTTCTTTTTAGCAGCCAACTCTACACTCCAGCCCGGCAGGCACGTCCCCATGCTTGTCTTAATGCGATCATAAGGTACGTTCTCAGGAAGTTCATGATCCCCATCGAGATAGGCATTCTCTAACAATTGTGCTTTCACACGTGAACTCCTCATTGAATCTCACATTACCGCCTCGTGCGGTCGCAACCTGCGCTGTCTCCAAGTCCAGAAACTTGTAGCCAAGAGTAGAAGCTCCATAGCCGAGTAATAAACTTAGTCTTGCTCGTGACGATAACTTCTCTTTCTTTTGTCTTAACTCGGGTGGGATTCGCACGTGTGCCAGACATCCCCACGTCCGCAAGTCATCAAGCGCAGGTTCCTCTTTCCACAATCGTTTGTGAGGTGAGACCAGCCCCTGTGGTCTGGTTGGTAAGTGGTTTAGACTCGTCACCACGTGCAGCAGCGCTTCTCCCCACAAGAAATTAGGTATGTGCGTATGACACGATGTCGGTGAAAACTTTTCGTGTAGGAGATGTGTAACGTAGCCAGAATCGGAAGGTCAACCAGGATTTAGGGACCTCCAGAATTTGGACACTCAGGATGACAAGTCACCCTGAATGGACGTGTGTCCTCGTGTTATCCCTGTCGGTGCGATTGATTCGGCGGAACAGTTATTTCACCGGGGAGTTGCTCATGATAAATGTATTCCAGGATGTGGAGTGCTACCGACAATTCTGGATCGGGCACCGGTCACAACTGGGGGAGGTTAGTAGAACACGAGGGAAGTTCTCAACCTAGACTAACCTAAATATGCAGAGTTCAATATACGTCACTAAAATGTAACCGTTCTTATCTTTCGGACCCTTGAACGGTAGGTCTCCTCACCAGTCTCACTTAGA